GACGTGGTTCCAGTGGCACTTTCTTATAAAAATGGATACATTATCTTGCTTGGTCTCTTGTCTTAGTTACATATTGGATCTTAACTCTGTCCAGTGGAGATTTTAGTATTCTTCTAAGACATCTGTTCTCCAATTTTTTTTTTCATGTACAGCTAATCATGGGGCATCTTACAATGTTCTGAAAAGTTTAAAGTTTCACATGACCTGGTGTGACCATGAGGCTTAAAACAGCACTGGGAAAATAAAGAACATTCAGCACCTTATTAAAGAGAATTGACTGCAACCGTCACCTCTGGATGTCTTCTTCTTCTTTTTTTCACTGGAAATAAATTATCTATATCTGCAATGATGTCTCTAGTATGTACTTCACTGTCTTTTGTAATTCCCTTAAAGTTTGGCTTCCACCAGTGTCTCTCCTGGCCAGAAGTTTTACCTGAAATGTTACATTTGGGACAGTCTTGGAGGATATGACCTGTTGTCTCAGGTGCTAGTCCACATGTACACATGAATGATTCGGCAATTTTAAATTTTGTGTACATGCGGCTGCAAAGTTGACTGTGCCCTCTTCCAAATCATGGTCTGTCCATAATATGGTATTTGTCTTGTGCCGGATTTGGTGGCTTTCTGATTGATTCAATTATTCCATTGACAAGAGACTATGTCAGGTTGTTCTTTGATTGCACCTTCCTTTGCTAGTTTATCAGCTCTTTTTACCTGTGTGAGTTCTGAGGCCCTGAAAAACAAGAATAGACCCACTGCCTACCAAAAAGCATGTCATAAGAGTCGACTAATTGGGAGCTTCCTTCAAAGTCAGAGTGCATCTGCCTGAGAAGCAAGGAACCAGCAGTCTGCATACAAATGACTCAGATCTGTAAAACAGATGTACACACAACACTCAGGTTCTGGAACAGGACTGCAGTCCAGAAGTGGATGAAAAAACAGGACTTTCCACCAGAGTTTACAGCTGGTGAACACGAAGAAGAAGAAGAAATCAGCTCTTTCATTTCTGGGAACTCCACAGTGGGACGGTATCCACTGCATAATCCACTTCACACTGGTTGCCTAGTTCACAGACTAGACTCTGAATATGATTCAGAAGATGTGGCAATGACTAAATACTGTCTAGACATAACCAGAGTTACAAATGGTGCCCATATCGTAGTGTACAAAGGTAAGTCAAAAACTTGACACTTTTGTGAATATTTTAAGATGCCACACATGTATATCCATTAAATACTACAGTTTGAAATCCTGGCAATCATTCTCAATCACCCTGTATATGGATAATGTCAGTTATGGAATGGAACATGGTCTATGAAAACCTGACCTCAATGACCGTATAGCTATCATGTTATGGTATGATGCTCATTATATAGATGAAGCAACATAATTTCACAGATAAATTTATTAGGTATTCATCAAGATTACCATTCAATGTACTGTTCACTTCAGAATGTCAACAGTATACAAGAAGCTACACACAATGAGCCGATCGATGTTAAAATAAAATCTCCACACACAAAAATATAAATACTTCATTTATCTGTAACAATTTATATATAGAGCAAAATGAAATATCATCATCATCATCAATCAGCATGTGGTCCTTTAAAGAACCTTGCTCCTTCACGGCAAACCTGCAAGTCTCTCTTCCTCTAGCCGATTCTCCAGCCCTATGTGCTTTCATAACTAATGCATCTTTAATGTCTTGTATCCATCTTCACGGAGGTCTGCCTCACTTTTCAGAAACTATACTCTCCATTACCGTTCTTTCCCCCAGGCAACTAAGATGTTTAACATGGCCAAAATACATGAACTTTCGGGACCGGAGAAAACAAAAGAAAAAACCCCGGCCTCATTATACATCATGTTGTAAGAGGCGACTAATTAGTAATTTTTCCTAAAAAGTCTGAGCACATCTGCCTGAGAGGTGAAGAACCAACAGTCTGCAAACAAATAAGCGATCTGTAAAACAAGGCTAAGTCCAGAAGTGAACAATGAACAAACAACCAGAACTTTCTGACAGCTGGTGAACACTAAGAAAAAGAAGAAATAACTCTGGATGTATTAGACCTGTACACATTTTAGGCCAAATCTGAGATCATGTGGCCCGGTTCAGTTCCTCATTAATTTTCCTTCTCACATATTTCCCAGAACTCATTCCCATTCTGATGAGTCTGAGTGGAACACAGAACCATATAGGTCACGTCACACACACACACACACACACACACACACAAAAATCAACAGTACAGTAAAAAAAAAAATTATTAAAAAATCTCAACATATAACATTTTCTGAAACAGTATATTTCAAAATGGTCATTAACATCATTATTAATGAGCTTTGTCCATGACTGTTTAGTCCACACGTGATCATGGAAGGAACAACCCTGGACAACTCTGACCACGACACTGATGACAAGGAATATATTCCACTCATAACAGATGCACACGTGTATACATTTGACACTTTCAACAATTTCCTGCCTATTCACAGCAAAACACACGATACACTTTTGTAAGTGCTTGTGGTACTAAATTTAGAATATTTAATCCTGAGAGAGAGAGAGAGAGAGAGAGAGAGAGAGAGAGAGAGAGAGAGAGAGAGAGATGGAAAGAGAAAAAAAGACCTAGACCCCCCAACAAGCATGTTGTAAAAGGCAACTTATGGGTTTACTGAAATAAGATGTGTTTACCGAAATCGGACAATAATTGCTATGGGAGGAAGAGTCATCACATTAAGTGCTTTTTTGCCTACACGATACCATTGCCACAAATACATTTAGGGAGCTCATGCACAAGTACGTACATGTGTGTGTGTATACACATATGTATATATATATATGTATGTGTGTGTGAGTGTGTATTTCAATGCCACAGTAGGTGTCATTTGTCAGATAACCCTCTCACTCACATGTCTAACAAGTCACAGCTAGAGGAGGTGAAGAGTAATTACCCCTTTTCTTCAGAAGGCTAGCAGCAGCATCTGTTTCTAGAGGGCCACAGTACGTACTTTACTTCATCCAAGTGCCTCAATTCTACTCTAAATGCCATATTTTATAGAGAGAAAAAGTTCTACATTCTGAGGAGACCATAGCAAATGTCTTATTTTAAAAAGTGAGCACCGTTATTTCTCATAGCCACAACAAATACATTATTTTTAGGACGTTGCATCAAGTTCATAGCGTGCCACAGTAAATACCATATTCATCATGAACATCAGTGGGTGGGTCTGGCACACAAACATCAGTGGGTGGGTCTGGCAGAGTTTCTAAAAGGTACAATATTTGTATATCTATTTCTACAGAACTCATCTGAACATTTAAAAGAATATTTTCGTTTGTAGTTGCATGCACTGTTTATGTCCAGATTTGGTTTTGTTTTTATACACATATATTTGCATAGAATTGTGTTATCCTTAACAGCAACTACAAACATATTATTATGTGACTCTTTGGGTTTATAAATGGTACGGCTACTAGACAGTTAACTATCTTCTGATAACTACACTTGGTAGGATTAATTATCCTCATTAACTACGGCCGGTAGTGAGATAACTACTACAGCTGTCCCCCAGTTAACTGTATCCAGTAAGCTCTTTCAGAAACAAAGAACGGCTCCTTCAGCACTTTCTAACCCAAATTCTGAGCACATAATGATGATAATTTTTGAACATTAATGAGTTTAAACAACGCAACTGTGGAACAGAAAGGGTTAAATTGACAACCAAGATAGAATGGGTTAATAGAACAGAAGAATATGGCCTAAAAGTTGAGAGATGTGTAGCACGTATAGTGTCATTAAGAAACTTACTGTGAGTTGCATGGTACAAAAAAAATTAGGCCTAACTAACAGCAACTTTGAAGAAATAAAAAAAAAAAAGGGGGGGGGGGGGTGTTATACAAATATAAATATGATCAGAAAGGAGCCATAAGCAAAGATAAGTTGAAAACCGTAGCCAAAATATCTGCTCTGACATCTTCCCAACTTTTCAGACAATAGTGTTTCATTGTGCGGTGGTGTGGCATGGAAATCATAGCCCAGGGGAGGGCGATTTTGAATTGCAAGACCTGCTCAGGTTAAGAAACGTCTACCACAATTAAAGCAAGGAATTTCAGGACCACTGTTCCTAATGCAAGTATTTAATGTGCTGCTCAGTCGCTTTGCTCTTAACCTATCTGCAATCATTTTCTTCATTATCCCTATTCCCTACATGACCCCCTCCTCCTATGCTTTCCATGGCATCAAAGGAATCCAAATGAAAATAAACTATGCTGTTTAAAAACAAATGCAGTTATCCAATGGCGCTTGGTAAAGTAAAGGACCCCTTTCCATGCCTTCTGGGGATAGGTATACAGCCCATATATTTTTACCTCTATTTTGCAGACCGATCGGCACTCAGTGAGTGATGTAGTTAGCATCAGGTAGGTCACCTTTAGTTCCCAGCCACTCAAAGCTGGGTCGACCTGGCAGCTAAGGTCATTTTTGAAAAACCCATAATCTTTCGATCCGCAGACAAGCGTCTGCTCGCTACACCACTGGAACTCCTTAATGGCGATTAACTGCTAAAAACAAAAAAACTACAACACTTTTTTTTTAAAGGAAATGCATAACTACTGAAAAATAATTTCCTTTGACATTCAAAATCTTTGCAATTTTAATGAGTGAAATTGTTCACACTGAACACTAGAATATACCTTAGGGTTCAACAAATCAACTGACAGTCCTTTCACATCTGGGTCAACAATAGGTTTTAAGCATTTGGGCTTTTCCATCAACTAATACAAATGCGCCATCGGATAACTACCTTTTTTTTTTCTTCAACACTATACATTAACAAACCATATGATCCTATGACAGGGTGCTCCCCTCTCCCACCAACTTGACCTGACAGGCAAATATTGTAAATCTCACGAACAGTAAAGAACTAGCATACATCAACCTTTCATATGCACATATTCACAGCCAACTAACAAAAACTAAAATGTACACAAGATGTTATTGCCAGAGCTCCGGTGGGAATGTGTTCACTTCGCCCATTTCACTGATGGTGTTGCCATTTTGTGTGTAGCTGATTTTTAATCGCATGCGGATTGGTTGCTGAAAACAAGCACAAAAGGAAATGTATCAATGAGACATTTTCCCAAAAGCATAAACAAGACTAAGAAATTATAAACAGTACTTTTGTAAAATGCATAAATTTGAGCATATATACAATAATGTAGTCCCCATCCATGGCTTAAGCGTTGCAAACATGCTTCATAATTCAGGAATACCTTGTTCGGTTGCAGCTTTAGGTGATTGCTCCATTGCACTGATTTCAATAGTGATATTGAGAGCAGACTGTTCAGTAAGCTGTGGCAAACTAGTGAACCCCGAAACCCCCCCCACCCCCCAAAAAAAAAATCGCATAACAGTTGTATCTAATATTTTTGAGTTACAACCCTTGCCATTCACAGCTTGCGGAAGGGAAGGGATTCACTTCCAGTGATCACACTCATGTCAGGAATTTAACTGACCGGACAGACATGTGATTTCTCTTAGAGATACTTCAGCTGAGTGATTTTGAGTATTCTTGCTTGGATCTGTGGTATTGCTAATTCATATAATGTAACGATAAAGACTCTAGCCACAAAGTTCACCTGTTGTCTGTGATACTGTGAAGCTGCCTGGTTCTAATTCACGTTTGGTTTAATATCTTATCATAGTGCTGCATACCTATCACATGACAACAGATGATAGTCGATTGTTTGGTATAATATCTTTTCATAGTGCTGCATACCTGTCACATGACAACAGATGATAGTCGATTGTTTGGTTTAATATCTTATCATAGTGCTGCATATATGTCACATGACAACAGATGATAGTCGATTGTTTGGTTTAATATCTTTTCATAGTGCTGCATACCTGTCACATGACAACAGATGATAGTCGATTGTTTGGTTTAATATCTTATCATAGTGCTGCATATATGTCACATGACAACAGATAATAATCGATTGTTTGGTTTAATATCTTATCATAGTGCTGCATACTTGTCACGTGACAACAGATGATAGTCGATTGTTTGGTTTAATATCTTTTCATAGTGCTGCATACCTGTCACATGACAACAGATGATAGTCGATTGTTTGGTTTAATATCTTATCATAGTGCTGCATATATGTCACATGACAACAGATGATAATCGATTGTTTGGTTTAATATCTTATCATAGTGCTGCATACCTGTCACATGACAACAGATGATAGTCGATTGTTTGGTTTAATATCTTTTCATAGTGCTGCATACCTGTCACATGACAACAGATGATAGTCGATTGTTTGGTTTTTTATCTTTTCATAGTGCTGCATACCTGTCACATGACAACAGATGATAGTCAATTGTTTGGTTTAATATCTTTTCATAGTGCTGCATACCTGTCACATGACAACAGATAATAGTCGATTGTTTGGTTTAATATCTTTTCATAGTGCTGCATACATGTCACATGACAACAGATGATAGTCGATTGTTTGGTTTAATATCTTATCATAGTGCTGCATACTTGTCACATGACAACAGATGATAGTCGATTGTTTGGTTTAATATCTTTTCATAGTGCTGCATACTTGTCACATGACAACAGATGATAGTCGATTGTTTGGTTTAATATCTTATCATAGTGCTGCATACTTGTCACATGAGGACAGATGATAGTCGATTGTTTGGTTTAATATTTTATCATAGTGCTGCATACTTGTCACATGAGGAAAAATGATATTCAACATTACCTTCTGAGGATTAATGAGCTCTATGAGTTGGGTGACAGTTCCAGCGTTGACAGGAGGAATGACACTTCCTGACGGTGACTGGAGGTTCAACTGGAATGACTGTGGACATCAGAGACAAATAAATAACTGGTAACTTTACGTGTGCAAGCAGCTCATGAATGAAACTTCTTCTTCATCTTAAGTGTTCACAGACTGTAAGCTCCAGCAGAAAGTTCTGGTTGTTTGTCCACTTCTGGACTTTGGTCTTGTTCCAGACCATAAGTTCTGCATGCATATCCATTCTACAGATCTGGCTTATTTGCATGCAGACTGTTGGGTCCTTACCTCTCAAACAGATGCACTATGAAGTCAAAAGAAGTATCCCTAATTAGTCAATTTTTACCACATGCTTGTTAAGGGGCAGTGGATTGATTCTTCTCCCTAGGAAGGAGCCTTGGATGAAACCCACATGATGCTGAGACTGATTACTGGGAACAGGATGCCACTATGCATGAAACGGTCAATCGGGAAGGGAATAGAGACTAACAACAACAAACAACTGCAGAGTTGAGAGCTAAGCGTCTGAAAAGAGGCACATTAAATACACACGACAGCAATAGTGGTCAGAAATCCCTTGCTTTTATTATTATAAATTTTTTCTTTCAATGTGAGCGGGCCTTGTTTGCTACACTTGCCATCACCATGGGCTGCGATGTGATTGCTCACGCCTTCCTACAGCAGGGCTATTCAAATAGCCGCCTGGGGTCAAGTGGCCCGCAGTTGTATTAACGATCTTTCTATGAATGGGCTCAGTCCTCTGGCTGGAGACAATCCCCCATTTTCAAAATTGTGGCCCCTGAGTTAATTTAGTTGAATAGCCCCGCCCTACAGCATTAATATAACACTACTATCAGGAAAGACGAAAGGTGTGAACAAACTTAGGTTATTGGAACGTTGGTCTCCCCACAGAAAGTAGGTCAATTCCACAGATAAGTTTGCTACTATGGTTGAGGTTATGGGTGTGGCAGTCTGTTATCTTGCATTTAGGTGTTTAGTCTGAGAGACTGCCTGTGACATAGGTTTCATCACTCTCTTAAGTGGTTGTGTGTTAGACCCAGTTGTCGATGTTTTTGGAGTGTTAAACCTCTGGCTTGGTGAATTATACAACATCCAAAGGCAACGGCATTGAGGAACACCCTAAGTGACCCAAGGTTGCATGGCTCAAGGTCAACCAATCAGAAGTGAGCTAGTGTGTTAGGGGCGGTCGGTGGGGAGACCAATGTAACTATTACCCTAACTTACTTCAGCAAATGCAACAGTTATCAAGAAAGTAATTTAATAAAATAGAACAATGGACTGCAGCTACTGCTGAGCAAAGAAAAAATGGCGTCTGTAAAGTATAGTGGCCATCATACCCACTTCTTCCTAAAGTTCATGCTGTGTAGCTTTGGTAGTCATGTCTATCCACAACTTTCTGCCTCGTGTACTTTTAATAAATTCTGACACAGTTGATCTTCCATGCCATGATGTCAAACTGTCCAGCCTCTGTTCTCTCCGTCTCCCTCTGCCTCTCCTTACCTACAACTTTTCTACTGTCACGATGTACTCCAGTTTTCTGCTTCTTATCACACGACCAAAGAATTTAGATTGTCTCTTTCTGATGTGGGCAATCAGTTTCTTTCAAGACGTCTTCATTACTCTTTTTATCTGTCCAGGGTATGCTCCTCATTCGTCTATAAAACCTCATCTACGCAGCTTCCAAATAAGTTTTCACTAATTTACTAACTGTCAATGATTCACATCTGTATGTCAATATAGGATTTATATAACTTCATATCTACTAAAGATATTTTTTTTAAAACATTTCAAAGACAAGACAGTGACTAGAAAAAGCTTGCAAGATATATCACAGGACAATTTCTTCTTCAGCATTCTGAGGCCTTCAGATTCACTGCTGCAAATATCACTAACCTCCAATCATCTCAGTGATTGGCCTTTTCTTTCCAGTTGGTGACTCCCAAGATTTTTTTAGGTCTGCCTCAATATTACCTCTCCACTGTCCACTTGGTCTGCTTCATGGTCTATGGACATTAAACTCCCTTCTGTACAGTTTTTGCCTCTCTGTCATCATAAATTCTCTCTATATGCCCCAACCATTTCAGTCTACAAGCCCTCTATTGATAAATAGTGATTTAAACAGACTGTGCCAAAAGATTATATGCGAGGGCCGACCAAAAAAAATAAAAATTTAAAATATAATTTAGCTAGGCTGATGTCAAATGCAGAAGAAACAAGGCTGATATAGCAGTAGGTGGGTGTCTGCACTACGACCATTCCACGTGGGGGTTTGAGGTTTGAACAAGGATCAACATCATGGCACACGGATAGTAACCCATAAGTGCTCCGTTCTTCTTCTAACTGAAGTCTGAGTTCGAAGAAGCTCAGCACAGTGCACAGGCTCTGTAGCACCGGCGAGGATCCTGAAATACTTTGGGAGGATTTTCAACTCCACATTTTCCCCAGCAGTGCCGTTAAGCTACTCTTTTCGATTTCCAACTGCCAAGGGAAGTTTTACGTGCGTAATTATTCACAAGGGCGTCCGATCTCACTACCCAGAGACCAGAGGGAATTACATAGTCCAAGTCGACGTGAAAAAACCCCCAGCCCTTACCAGCGAATGAGCCTGGAACTTTAGCACTCAAGGCGGACACCAAGCCTCGAGACCACTTGGAAACAAACATAAACGAAAAACAAGTAAAACTGCGAGATTTTTTTATAGCTACATTTACTCACCTTGGGCACAGCGGCCTGAAAGACAAAATCTAGCATAGGGAATGGAGAAGAATTGGCAGCCTTCATGTTAATCACAGTTTTTGTGGCATCATTGTTTGCCCGCTGGCAAATGAACTCCACGATAAGACCATTCTTGTTGAAAGCTGTCACAACAGGTAATGCTGGAAAATAAATATAGTTAATTAAGGTTCGATTTCTCTTGTCTACATTTAAACAAAACAAAAAAATAATTCTAATTTCAAACTTTATTTTTTTTTTTAAAAACACCCAAAAAAAAAAACTCAACAGCAGATAAGAGAATCTTTCCATATTGTAAGGCATGACATATTAGGCGGAGAGTCCAATTCTTAACTTATCGCTTTTCCTTCGACACGATTCCCACAAATTCTGAAGTGGTATCCATATTTATGTGGCTGGTTTGATATCAGAGCTGTTCTGAACCTTGCTCACTGTCTTGGAAGGCAGCTACACTAGCAACTATGCCCTAAACTTGTATGCCCTAAACTACAAATGACCAACATTTCCAGCTAAACAAACAAGGGTCATCACATACATGGGAGTGTCTTACACACAGAAAAACACAGTATCTACCACAGCAAGGTGGTGACACATCAGAGGGGCCCACCAAGATAAAAGAACATCAACCTCCTTATAAATCTAATATCGCATGAACAACGGAGAGTAGGACATCAGAAGGTTTTGCTAAAATAACTGTCCTCATCTCTATTTGAAGTAAAGGACTCTTTTCATGACCAACACTAGTATATGATGCTCGACTTATATTTCTAGAGAAGCTTGCTGCCTTTGCTTTCCAGGACATTACCTCTGGTGCCCATTTTAGACTAGGTCGACATGGGAGCCAAGTCCACCCCCCCCCCCCCCCCCCCCCCCCCCGCGAACAATGTTAACAACGACAGACCATAGAGAACATATAAACTCACAACAGACAGAACCATCTACAATTAACATCTCTTTCAGTATTAAACAACCCTTCATATGTTTACTGATGATTCCACGCATGGGTCATATCGCACAATATCTGACCCAATTATTTGTTATGTTGATCTGTTCTAACACTTTGATTATTTTAACTCATCCTGTTCTGAACTGCCACTATTTTGATTAACTCGGTCTCCAAACCATTTTCTCTAAAGCAAACAAACTGAAATAAAAAGTTGTGTTTGTTTGTTTGCATTCATCAGTTGTAAGCTCTGGTGGAAAGTCCTGGTTGATTGTCCATTTCTTCTTCTTCTTCGTGTTTACCAGCTGTAACCTTTTGTGCTTGTCTACCTCTGAACCTGAGTGTTGCGCACATCTGTTTTACACATCTGGCTTATTTGTGTAGACTTTTGGTTCCTTGCCTCTCGGGCAGATGTACTCTGTCTTCAAAGGATGCCCCCCAATTAGTCGACTCCAGCAACATGCTTGTTTGGGGAGGCAGTGGGTCTATTCTTGTTTTATCCCAAAATGGGACCCCGGAACCCAAACGGGGAGACTAAAGAGTTTTGAAATAACTATAAAGTGATAAAAGAGGTGAACTGTATCAATTAGTTTCGCATTATAACAATTAAAAGCATAAATTATTGACGCAAAAGATCAAAGTGTAGAAACTTACACGAAGCGCCATTGACAAAGTTGTTCGGCGGTGCTGTAGTCTGAATAAAGCCATCCAGGAAGTTGTTCCCACCAACTGGTGATAGAACTGTAACAAGCCAGCAAGGAGAAAATATATATTGAAAATTTGCTAACATTGGATAAAAGCACACAAAATGGGAATACAAAACACAAGGGGCAGCACACAAAGTTGTGCACTCTAACATGGAGACAAGGGGTGAAGCTGGCAATTAGCAGGAACTTTAGTTCTAAAGGTAAAGGTAAAGTCGGGAGATGTGAACCAGCGTCACTGCACATGGTTATAAAACCATTAAGTGCTCTGCCTCCAGTACGGAAGCTGATAAGAAACTGTCTGCCTGTGTCGCTGTCCGCACGCAACTCTGTAGGTACAGCGACGTTCCTCCATTTACCTTAGAGTGTCAACTCTGGTACCCAATACCTAAAGGCTGGGTGAACCCCTGGAACCGCCTGTGGGCTACAACTGGATTTGAAAGTGAGTCTCCTATAGACTGCGCTAATGCAGCCCCTGATATCCACCATGTATTCAACCCTCAATGTGATGAACTTCAACTGCTGCTCCACCTACCTGACCGAAAGACTTATTTGAATCTAATTATATCTCCAGTTCAGTAATCAAATCTCAAATAAGGATTTTAAAAAATACGTCTTACATTAAGGCAGGCAATGAAGAAAGCAAAACAACTACCATTCTAAGACTATATCCTTCCTCTCAGAGGACAAACAACAAATCCTTGCTACTAAATTCATAAGACAGATCCACATTGTTCTAACTGGATCCACACATCAGTTCTCAGAGGTTTGATCTGATCTGATTCAAGAACTTAAATCACAGCACTCAGAGCATTCCCATAAGCGCTCTGTACCCATCTTCATCAGCCAATGCACAGTTTCAGTATCAATGGTGCCAGTAGCATTTTATCTACACTGATCAATGTTCAGTTGATTGATGTAGTAGGATTCCACTTTAAGCCCAATAAGTACCTTCCATTGTTTTATATAGCGACGTAACTGAATTAGAGTTGTTTTATCTTTGATCTTGCTTGTTGATGAAAACTAATTCCCAAACTCATTCTCATTGCAATTAAATTAGTTTATTAAGCAAATCTTTTCTTGTTTTGTGTGTGTAAATAAAAAAAAATAAAAAAATCTTTACTGATTGAAATCAAATTTAATTAATTTTTATTTACATATGCTTCATTTACTACATCTTAAAATACCAAAATATTTAATATCTTTGACAGTTAAATAAATTTTAAAAAAAACCATTAACTTTTCACAACTTCACCAGTAAAAAAATGTGCTGTTTTACATTTTCGTGTGTACTTACCAGTTAAATACTAGTTAGAGAAATGTTGCCCCCCCCCCCCCCCCCCCCCCCCCCCTTCAATGCTGCTAAAAAAAATTTTTTTTTAAGGTAAAAGGTAAAGTCGGGAGATGTGAACCAGCATCATTGCACACAGTTATAAACCATAAGTGCTCTGCCACATTACGGACAGCTGATAAGAACTGTTAGCCTGTGTCGCCGTTCGCACTAACTCTGTAGCTACAGCGACGTTCCTCCATTTACCCCAGAATGTCAATTCTGGTACTCATTTCCTAGAGGCTGGGTGAACCCCAGGAACTGCCCGGTTTCGATCACCGACCGTGGGCTGCAGCGAGTCGTAGCTGGATTTGAAAGAGAGCCTCTTATCGACTGTGCTAACGAGGCCCCATTGTTTTTTGTTTTAATAGTTAAAATCACTACATTTGCTACTGTAAATATGAAGTGTAACACTGCTAAATACAATCTAATGGGATTTTACACTCTTCAATAAAGAGAAACTATAATTAATAAATCTTCTTCTTCTTCTTCTTCTCTTCCACCTTGTACCTCATCGAAGTGTCGGGGGGAGATGTAATGTTCGTTGATGGGCTCTGTCAAGAGCACTATTAAGACTGATGTTCATAAATGAATTAATTAATTCTATTTTGTTTTTTTAAATAAAAAAGAGACACCATTACCAGCTAGCACATTTTCTTCATTCATTATCATTTACTTTTTGTGTGTCAAATAATGCAACATAAACAACATAAATTTTGTTTAAAATTATGGGCTATCCTCCGATTAACGGTCGGCAAAGATGGCGGCCGCAAAATATCCTTTCGAGCCACAGTCACGTGACTTAATGTGCGATTCTCCAGCGGTTTTCCGGCAACTATCGCCACCGCCAGGTGTCCCTGGAATGGGGCTAAACTAGATGGCTAGGACCCACGAGCAGAAGCCGCGGTGTGCTCGTGACCGCTAGTGCGCAATTGACACGTGACTGGCTCGAAAGGATATTTTGCTGCCGCCATCTTTACCGACTGTTAGTCGGAGGATAGCCAAATTATGTTTTTTTTTTGTTACAAAAATTATGTCTGAAAAACAAAAAAAGCTCACCTGTGTTGTTATTTACAGGAGGCACGTCAGATCCCAGGTCACCCAGAAGATCCAGCAAATCTATAGCTCCACCACCTCGGTTAGATTGTATGGGAGGAGCGGCTGGCGTGCCGTTCGACATAATATCCAAGATGTCTCCATTCTGAAATGAACGTTACTTAAATAACAATCTTTGTAGTTTTTAATTACATGTGTGTGTGTCAGTGATCATCGCATATATCACAGTTTATAATGAGTTTTTGTAAATTTTAATTTGTAAGCTGCTTTTACATAATATTTGTTTTCTTGCTGTTTATGCAATCACTGTTTTTGCTATGCTGGTTTAGTGACAATTGTTTTTTCTTAAATTTTGTTTCCATGATGCCGTCAATCAATTGGGCTACATCGCCACAATGAAGGCTAGCTGCGTCGGATAACAAATATTCTTGGTCTCTCACCTTTGCTCCACATTTTCTCTGCTGTCAATCCATCTCTTGATGTTATTCTTCCATTTGTATCGCTGTCTTCCCATTGCTCACCTCCATTTTAACTATTTTGTGCAGGACTGTTTTAATTGGAAAAGAGGCCTTTTTAAAGATCCTTGGTATATCATATAGAGATCACATCACAAAGGAGGATGTTCAAAACATCTTTGGCATCTATGAACCTCGTTTATTAACAATGAAAAGATGGACAATGCAATTGCATGAATGTGTAACAAGATCTACTAGCCTCTCCAAAAACAACACTACTGTGCTCGGTGAAGGGGAAGAGAAGAGGCAGACCAAGAAAGAACCGGACACAGAGTTTGGCTGAAAGGACAAACATGCAAACGTCAAGTCCGCTGCATCCAACTGACAGAGGTAGAGGAAAGTGACCAGATAGTCAACAGCAACTGGTGACCAAATGACAAGTTTAGCGACATGATGATAATGATTGTTTTTATAAGTGTATTAATATGACCAGACTATCTCTTTATCTCTGACTCCATACTTGTAAACTAAACAAACCAGCTCACCTCTGTAGGTTGTGTGGGAGAGATAGCCAGGTTGTGCACATTGGTTCTGGAAACTGAGTCTGCTAACAGGTTCACTTCATTGTCATCTGTAAAGGTATCCTCCAGACTGTGAGGGTGTGCCTGTATCAGTGGCATGCGCTCCAGAACTGCAGGCCTGGAGGGGAAAAAAGGCTATAATTTAGATCATAGGTCTCTAAACTTTTTTTGGGGGGTCTGCTGTCCCTCAACCTGTACAGTGAAATAATAATCAGATCTGAACATGGTATGCCAGGAATAAAGATTGGTGGGCATATTGTCGACAATCTGCGATCTGCCAATGATTTAGTTTTGCTTGCTGACAAAAATGAAACAACCTCAAGAAATTTTGGATACAATTGCAAAGGAAAGTGAAAATGAGTGTCTTAGTTTGAACAGTAAAAAACAGAAGTAATGGCAATTATAAAGAAAACTGACCCACCAAAAATGCAACATCAAAGTAAATGGGACAAACCTTAAGCAAGCTGACATGTTTAAGTACTTGGGTACACTGATAACATCAGATGGAAGATGTATTAAAGAAGTTAAATGTAGAACAGCTCAAGCAAGGGCAGCATTTTACTAAATGAGGAATGTTTTATGTAATCTTTCTTTGTCAAATGAGACAAGAAAGAAACTTTTAAAAGCTATAAAAATCCTATCTTGATATAAGGAAGTCTTCTTCTTCTTCTTCGCGTTCACCAGCTGTAAACTCTGGCGGAAGGTTCTGGTTGCTCGTCTACTACTGAACTGCAGTCCTGCTCCAGAACCTGAGTGTTGCGTGTGCATCAGTTTTACAGATCTCATTCTCTTGAATACAGACTGTTGGTTCCTTGCCTCTCCGGCAGACACACTCCGTCTTCAAAGGAAGCTCCCCAATTAGTTGACTCTTACAACATGCTTTTGGGGAGGCAGTGGGTCTATTCTTGTTTTCCCCACAATGGGGCCCCGGAACCCACACAGGGGATATAAGGAAGTGAATCATGGACAGCCGGTAGATTAGTGAAAAATTAACTGGAAGCTGCAGAGATGTGGTTTTATAGACAGATGATGAGAATACACTAGAGAAACTAAGTGTAATGAGGATGTCATAAAGAAACTGACTCACGAAGAGAACTGATTGCCCACATCAGAAAGAGAGAATCTATATTCTTTGGTCATGTGATATGAAGAAGAAAACTGGAATACAGCGCGTCATTAGGAAAGTTGGAGGGGAGTGGAGGGAGACTGAGAGAAAAGATGCTGGACAGTCTGCAGTCTGACATCATGGCTCTGTGACAGAGCTGACTGAAAGTACATGAGGCAGAAGGGTGTGGATAGACATGACTACCAACAACACACAGCATGGACTTTAGGAAGAAGCCCCTCTATTTAATATTAACAATAGTATCAAGCCCCCCCCCCCCCCCCCCCCCCCACCACCAATTTTACCATGTGTCTAATATAGTGCCATCGTCTCTATCTTATAACTGTTGATACTAGTTGTTGCCCAGCCATTCTCTTATTTCTTCTCTCCTCTTGAATTAATCTCATTTTACGTTCAGCATTTTCCTCAACCATTTGTTTTCAAATCATTTAACTTTCATTCCATATCTTCAGTGGTTCCCCAACTGTCCCTGGCATATGTTAAAACTGAAATAACTTTTAAACTGAAAATATGTAACTTGGTTCTAAAACCAATCGGGGTTCCATATTTTGTTCAAGCCTTTAACACAATTCACAACATTCACAATATTACCTTAAATGGTCGTATCTGGTGAAGAGGTTTGTGTACTCCACAGAGCGCTGCTGCAACTCCACATTTGTACTGGAGCCATATGTGGTTATTATTTTCTTTAGGCGGCTGCAGGAGAAAGGGATTCATAAGACGGTGCCTTGTCAGGACAATGTTAAATGATCCATCGAATGCAAAAATTAGTAAATAAACTATTAAATTAATCTACTTGATACCCAAATCACATGTGTTAATAAAAGTTAGGGGGAGTCAATAAGTATGTCACAAATGGTTATAGGATGGCAGGAAAATGTAGCTGATGGTTTCTAAAGATGTCAGTAGGTGACAGCCACATCAAACTTTATGTCTCTGTTCGTTAGGTGGCGCTAGGTGTTGCATGCGCATTCGCAAAACAGAAACAAATGGCAACCGTACTTAACGGAGTGTACCCTCAAGAAAAATGTGCTGTTGTGCCTTATTCTTGGGCAAAAGGGCTGCCTGCAAAGGTCATTCACAAGGAAATGCTTCTCTTTTATGCTGAAAAATGTTTATCCTGTAAAGTGGTGCATAGCTGGGTTAAAAAACATTATGCACTTCAAAAAAAAAAAAACATCCAGGCCTGCTAACTAGAGGAGTCCTTCATAACGATGCCAGACCATAAACGGCTTGGTTAACTCAGGAGAAAATTAACCATCTAGGGTGGGAACTTTGTAAACATTCATATTACAGCCCCGAGTTAGCCCCTGGTGATTTCCACCTTACTTTTTGGTCTGCTGAAAACACACAGGAAGTGAAAATGTGGTTTAGAAAACAAGAGCACAAAGTTCAATGCGGCAGGTTTAGGAGGACTGATAAAACGATAGGACAAGTTCAACACTGTTATTGGAATTTATGTTGAAAAATAAAGGGACAGTGTATGTGTAAACAAATGGTTCTCAAGTTGTAATCGTCTTTAGTTTCCTTAAACTAACCATTTGTGACTTACTTACTCTTCCCCTCGTAAATATCGAAAATATAATAAAATTGTTACTCCAAATGTGGGTTTCAAGGCCTTATTTTAGTGATAAAACAAGAATACTCACTGTATTTTGACAAGCTAGTTCTAAAAGGTGCCTAATTAAGGGTTTGCAAACCGGATATGTTGAATCGAAAGGCACAGATCGAAGTCTGGCTGTAATCCATAATAGAATGTACTTACACCCTTTTCAGGACGAATGCAAAAGAAAGAAACATTATTCTGATCTGTGTTGAGAACATGCTAGACGACCTGCTCATGTGAATACATCACAATCGATAAAGAAGAATATTAAGGCTTTTAAAATGTGCTACATTCTAAGAATACAGTGAATTAAGAAGAATAGGTTAGTTGCGTATCCTTTACAGGATGTTGCAGAAAGAACCCCAACAGCCCCTGTCTGTTGTGTGGTTTTTCTAGGCAAATTTACATCCAGTAGTTTGCCATTGCTTTCTGGACGGTCGGCTTTCTTGATACCACGCAAGGCGCATGGCCCACAGCTGGGATCGAACCCGGCATTAAGAAGCGTTCGCATCAACTTAGCCACAGAGCCAACTAAGAAGAATACAGATACAGAATATGACAGACAGAAAGAAGAAAGTACAGATATTGATATCTCATGATGAAACTAGAGAAGAAAATCGAGGCTTCAACCTGATCACCCCAAGAAGACACACAACCAATACTTCTGGTTGGGTTCAATCTTCCATAAATGTAGCTTTACAGACTTGCAATAGGAGTCTGTTCACAAGAAGCCTATTAGCAGCAGTACAGTTTGTACCTGTGCAAAAATTTGTCTGCTAAAAATATAAGTCAGGTGGGATTTCTTATGAAAAATTACCATTTAAAGAAAATTATGACATCATAATTTCTCATTAATTACAATGGTGACAAGGTCACAGTTCAAGAATGAAGCTTACTGTTGTTGTTGTTCAAAGAGAATAACCAGATAATTCTCTGCTAAACACGTATTTGCTGATTACTCTTATTATGTACAGAATTTAATACATTGTTTTAGTCCATAAATATTCCAGGATTTTGTCTGTGACCTGTGACAAATGGATTTTCCCGACAAAGAAAATTTGGTTCTTCATTAATATCTTACCCCAGATGACGTCACAGGACAGTCCAACATTTTAGAGGGTGGTAAGACTGGGTTTCCCGGCTTTCTGATGCTTTAACTACCCCAAAACAAAAAGAACTGGCCCTAAATCTAACTCACCCATGTCCCAGGAGAGAGCGTAGCCTAGGTCCCACGACTGCATGCAACCTATCTACCACCCCCTGAAATATTAGACTGTCCCATGACCTTTGGATATTCCCTGTTGGGGTAGGATATTAATAAAGCACCAAAAATTCTCAAAATACAGTTTACTGGTTTTGTTTTCTCTAGGCCAAAAGAGTTAATGTGACAAGAAATTCTTACATTGGATTTATAAGAAGACAGGAACAAAAGTGGACAGGAGAAAAAACCCAAGCCTCACATACTAACCTAGTGCAGCTGGACAGCCTTGAGGAGAGTTTCATCAGGGCTGTGATAACATACTCCTTGGTCACCACAGAAGAGTTATTGTTGGCTAGAACTTTCTCTAACAAAGTGATCACCTCATCTTCTGTCACCTAGAAATACACACACATTTTAACAAGTTACAACAAATCAGCCATTCACATGTGTGAGTTACAATCAACTAGTCATATGCCAAGTATATGCAAGTTATGACACAGTCACTCACAAAGCATATACAAGTTACGACAGATCAGTCAATCATAGAGCATAAATTAAAATAACAATTGTCGTAAACAGAAAATAAATTTACAATGTGGTAATGCTAACAGATGCATGGAGTATGATTTAAAAAAAAACTGACCTTGGCTCTCAAATCGACTCAGCCTAAAACTGGTACCAGGTAATGTCCTGGGAAGTAAAGGTGGCTGGCATGTTGACCATATCACCTATCAAATGCTAATAGACCTATAAAATCATATGCTCGATGTGCCATATGTGTTAAAAGGGTCCTTTACTATTTTTTTGTTTTTGTTTAAAACTTCTTCGTGTTCCAGCAAAAACTTCTGTCTGTTCACTGACTTCTGCACATTAGCCTTGTTCCAGAACCCAAGTAATGCATGTGCATCCATTTCACAGATGTGATTAAACTGTGTGCAGACTGTTGGTTCCTTGCCTCTCAGACAAATGCACTCCGACTTTGAAAGAACTTTTACGACATGCTTTCGGGCAGGCAGTGAGTGGGTCTAATCTTGTTTTCCCTGGAGCCGGGCCCTGGAACCCATACAGGGATTTTAAATGCCAACAACTGATGTTACAGAAAGAGTTAAACATGACTACATACCTGCAGGGGCTCCTCCTCCTCAATATTCACAGAGTTAATTAACTCTCCGTACTCCCCAATACACCAGGCCGCCACCTGTGCCAGAGGCTGCTGAGTGTAATCATTACGCAGGAAACGGAACAGCTGCTGCACAGAGTAGGCGTGTAGGGAGGATGTCTCAGACACTAGCTGGATGGCGATGGTCACCACATCTCCTTTGATGTAGTTGCCAGCCTGAACAGCAGAAGAAAAAAATGGACGGTTATCAATCAGCACTTGAGAGTAGCATTTTGTGAATCCTGGATAATTAACTCTGAGTCAAAGGCAATTCATAATGTGTCAATGACTCTTTTAATTGAATCCCAACAATCACATATTGTGTTCTTTCACTGTTCACATTAGGTCAGAGACTGCTACTTAAATCTGGCTTCCTGTGTGGCTACTTCCGGCTGGCATGCACTCTGCTAAATAAAATGTATACACTTATGAGTGTCCATAATGGTTATTGCACCTCTTGGGAACATACGCAAAACCTTCTGGGACTCAAAGAGTTAATAAATGAGCCAAACAATTTCTTGAGGCCTTAGAGATGTGCTTAACAGAAGCACCCTTAAAATTCCTTGGACATTCATAAATTACTTATGCAGATTCCCTTGAAGTTGGAGTACAAACTAACAGTAAACATCCACAAGACCCCATCAGCAAAATCAACATAGAACAATTTTCCGTCTACGCAACAGGACACTGCAGGCTCAACTACCACATGCATAAAATAAAGATTGTACAGTCCCCACAGTGCGCCTGTCAAACAGGACCACAAACACCTGAGCACATTCAGCAGACCTACCCACTCTACATAAAACTTCAAAAAGACACCTGGCCTCGAGAGCAAAGTGTGCAGAGCAAGCTATGGGGAACCATGAAGGACCTGCGACTGACATGAGAGTTCATAGGGGCAACCCACCTGTTGGTCTGATTTGAGCATATGAAACCGAACGCAAAGAATAAGTAGTTTTGCAGTTCAAACTAGTTCATAAGTGCAATTTTATGGAGATTTGTAGGGATCGTCATCGGAGCTATGGATTTTGTGCGGCGCTCTCGACAGGCGGCTAGTAGAGAGAGACTGAGCCAAATAGAATAAAACTCGGTGCAAGGAAGCTGATCCCCTCAGCCTTAACATTTAACTTTAATATGGTCATAGACAGTGGGCAATTATTAAACTAGCCATACAATTTCCTGAGGCCTTAGTGACATATGCTTTACAGAAGAATACTTAAAATTGCTAGTACAGCGAAAAGTTAGTTAGGCAGATGTTCTGAAAGAGGTGAGGGCCCGACGACAACTTATCACAAACATGAGAAGGAGACAGTCATCATTTTTGAGTGCCTTATTATAAGAAAAGGGAAACTGGTACATACGACCACGGGAAAGATTTGTAGAAAAAAGAGACAAGAGGACATCAACACGAGAAGATTCCTGACAGTCCCTTTTCATGGCATGGAGCAGTGTCAGCACATGAATTTTCTACATGCCATTTGAGATCACCACACGTCGTGAAGTGGCATGATAACCAACGCCAGTCAGCAAGGCACTTGATGATGATGATGTCTGTAGTATTGGAAGAAAATGCAGATAAGAGGGCGGTGGTCCCAAGTGTGCACACAGACAACAGATAGCGTGTACAGAATTATGTAATCACTTTATTAGAGCAAAAACTCATTTAAAAAGTCTTTACAATAAATTAGGACACAGAAGTCTTCAAAATAAAAGTAGAACACAAACTACACAGTGCACAACTTTGTTGGCACCTTTCCATCTTTCAAGACGACAGTATTATTCAATGCCACAGGAAGGTGTGGAAATCAATGTCCATAGTGAGTGCCTGGAAATGAGAAAGCTGATCAACTGGCAGAGAAAGGTGCGACAAAAGAACAGCCGGATGTACCAGTTACATACCACCAAAAGAAAAGAATCATTAAATCGATCAGGAAACCACCAGCCCCAGCACAAGACGACTATTTTATTAAGGACAGACCAGAACAAGTCATTATCCTCCGCTTCAGAACAGGGCACAACCGATTACGTAACCACATGTACACAAAATTCAAGATGGGTGTATCAGCCATGTGCACCTGTGGAAATGTGTCCCAGACAGCACAGCATGTACTCCAGGACTGCACCGATTTGACACATTAAGGCAAACCTTTTGGCCAGAAAGAACAACAGTGGAACGTAAACTCTATGGACCACTAAATTAACTAACAACGACAGTGAAATTTATACAAGAGACAAAACTGCTGATATAGACAACTTATTTCAGGCAAATGAAAGAAGAAGAAGAAGTGTCCACAGTAATAGCGAACACGACAAACAAGACCCCCACACATTAAGAAGTCTTCCAAATTTCAAGCACAGGATTTCAGGACTACTGTTGCCATGTATTAAATGTATTTCTCAGACCCTCAGCTCTTTACCTATCTGCAATAATTTTCTCCTTTATCCGCTATACCCTCCTGATTCCCCCCCCCCCCCCCCCCCCCCCATCCATGCAGTACTGTTCATGGCATCCTGTTCCAGTGAATCCATATTAATACCTGTTTCATTCATGCCCCGCCTGATCACAGCCAGCTGACAATGACGTATAACCCGTTAACTGCTGACTCTGTATTTTTTGTAAATTTTATTTTAGACCAACTATGGTCAAGGATGAATGAAGTTCCTCCTCTCCACAGCACAACACCTAAAGGTAACACTTTAAACACTGTATGACAAGAGATGACTTACCGTTGTTAAAACTTTAAAAACAGTGTCTATGTGCCATCTCTTGTTTGGTGAGTATCTGATGAGAGAGAACAAAATGCGACTTTAAAGAACAATAGGAAACGAAAACTAAGCACAGAAGAGACAGTCTGATTACTTCAGTGTATTTTTAAAACTACAGGACTGACTTCAATTCATTAGTTTTTTATTTCCCAAATAAATTAAGGATGCTTTTTATGTCATTCAGTCATTGGACACATAATGTTGGGCTCATATTTTTAATAGAGCAATTATAGAGCAATCGGCAATTCTGCAAAATCTCTCTTGACAAACACCACAGATGGTACCAGGGACTGCAGTGCTAATTTCAGTTTCTAGTCTTTTCCCCCTACTTCCTCATTTCTTTGAGCTCCTACGTCTCGCTGTATCAGAGCTTAATAAGGCACATTAGGCACATTATGAAATGATCTATGTGAAAACAGTAAACGATGTTCACCAGTGCTGTTTATACGCTCTGCTGTCTTGTCAGCTGAGTTTTCTAGTTACAGTTTGTGTTGCTAGTACTCCTTTGATAAAGACTTTGTGTTTGGTTGTATTTGTTTGTATCCTTCCATTTCCTTCATTAAGCTTGCTAGTCAGAGTCTATGTTGCATTTACTATTAAGTGAAAACAACACAGTATGAGATATGTCTCAGTCAAGGACAATTCAGTTTGAATGGATGAATGAACGAACGAATGAATGAATTAAGTATAGACTTCACTGTGCTCGGAACATTCATATACGTACTCCATCCTCTTCTTCATAGCAATAGAAGAGTCAACATGCTGAGAGTCCCAGATGAAAACTGACTAAAAACACACCCGTTTCCCTGTTTCCTGTTGAATATCTTCCAGAACCTCTACACACCATCCATTTAACTAGTCTTTCAGCCCCCTGGGAACAAGCAATGGAATCAGTAGAGAAACAAGATTAGTATGGCCTGGAGAGAATGAGGCACCTGGGTGTAACCACAGGGTTTGGTCGGCTCATTTCACTCAGAGGAAAGGCAAGACGGACATATAACCAGATTGTGACCGGTAAAATCAGTATTGGAACTCTGTGCTGGCTGCTGAAGATGAGGATGGAGCACTCATGGGAATGAATACCCCAAGGGATGTGATGTCAATTCCTGAGACACAACTAAACTAGTCTTTCAGTGTATGGATTCTCTGTTCTGTTGCACTATCCATCTGATCAACAGCCTTCACCATGTACACTTTATCATAAAGTAGCTCACCGCCCAGAGAAGCGGCAGCAGCTAATCTATCAGCCTGCTCATTCCCTCGCACACCTGAATCTCCCGGACAGAAAAGCAAAAATTCAGTGCAATCCATAATCATACATGTCAGGAACATATGTTGCTAAGCTCAGTCTTACTGACCCACGGGCGCCAGATCAGAGATACAGTCAACATCACGCTGGCTGCCTTTACTTAGTACCCATTTTTTTTAAGGGATGGGTCAAACTGTGCGCCAAGGTCATTTTTGTAAAAATCCAACTCAGTGCGGATTCAAACCGAAGACCCTCAGAAAAGAAGTAAATTCTAGCCACTACACAACTGCGGCTCTCTTTTATGAAGACTACTGGCAATAATTAAATCAAGCACTTATGTGATCAATGTTCTTACTTGGCAGCAGCCATGACAATGTTGGAACAACAGTCGGACTTGAACTCTGGATCACAAGTCTCCAGGAACAGCAGAAGCTCCTTCATCATGCCCCGTACATTGTTATGGTTAATCAAAGCGAAGGAAAGCTCGATAGCACGCCTGCAGATCAAATTTCAACTGTTATTTATAAATTTACACTATATGGTGCGTAAATCTGGACAAACTTCTTCTTCTTCTTTTTGTTTGTCTGAGTAAAACAAATACGATGTGCCTGTTCACAGCAAAGTTACGACGATATCTGTACCCTTTGGGTGACATATCCAACTTCTTCAATCATTTGTTGACCAGATCCACTACCCCCGGATAGTTTGGAGGGACAAGACGTAGCCTTATTTGTCTAGTGTTCTCTTTGTCCCATTTAATACAGGTGTTGCTCCTGTGTGGGCATATCATTGGTATTCCCAGCAATCTGAGGAGACTTCGATAAATGCAGATCTGAAACATGACGCTATGGTTCTCGGCTTACCCAAGGATTCGTCATGTCCTGCACAAAACTGCTTAACCTCACATTCATTTGTTGAGCTTCCCACTTGTCACGGGCTGCACCCTCCACAAATCAGCAGGTATGGGACCTTGATGACCTCACAAATGTGTGAAGCCAAAACTGTACCGCAAGATACTGCAGGAGATATTGCTCATCTAAGCTGCAAACAAATCTCTTGGCCCAGGGCTGAGTCTCAGCAGTTCAGTATTCTTTCATTCGACATATGTTTTAAGAGAGAGTTGCCATTTGGTAGTATATTTGGCTAGTGGGCTTTACTCATGTTCCAAATGAGTTTCAACAGACATTTTCACTCATGCACTGGGGGTGGGCTGAGGAGAGTTAGACTGGACACAACATTTCTGGCGGCCACCAATTCCGAGATCTCCTGCCAACTCAGTTCAGGTCACCAAGGTGATCATTATCTTGGTGCATGGCAAGGACATGTGGCAGTAGTTTTGCAAGAGGATCCATAAAACCAGCAACAGAGCCAGCTGGCGCCAGAGGTGAGGTATGGAGTATCTCATACACGCCACAACAGCCTTAACTTTCCCTCAAGCGAGTGACCCAAATCACTATGTCACAAATCTGGACAATGAAAATAAAGCAACTAGAAAATATAACTGATGTGGAAATAAAGAAGAATGTGTTGTATTTTATGGAATCACTCCAAGAGCAGAGAATTAATGTTGTAGTAAGTTCAGATGATGCAGAGGCCGACCTCCGTAAAGGTGGATGAAGAAACTGAAGATTCATCAACTATGAAGGTGCACAGGGCTGCAGAATTGACCAGAGAAAGAAAGACTTTCAGCTGTGCCATGACCACAGCAATGTTCTGTAAGGAATTTGTTGATTGCAATGTTCTGTAAGGAATTTGCTGATTGCAATGTTCGGTAAAGAATCTGCTGATTGCAATGTTCTGTAAAGAATCTGCTGACAGCAATGTTCTATAAAGAATCTGCTGACAGCAATGTTCGGTAAAGAATCTGCTGACAGCAATGTTCTGTAAAGAATCTGCTGACAGCAATGTTCGGTAAAGAATCTGCTGACAGCAATGTTCGGTAAAGAATCTGCTGACAGCAATGTTCTGTAAAGAATCTGCTGACAGCAATGTTCGGTAAAGAATCTGCCAGATTGCAATGTTCTATAAAGAATCTGCTGACAGCAATGTTCTGTAAGGAATTTCTTGATTGCAATGTTCTGTAAGGAATTTGCTGATTGCAATGTTCGGTAAAGAATCTGCTGATTGCAATGTTCTGTAAAGAATCTGCTGACAGCAATGTTCTATAAAGAATCTGCTGACAGCAATGTTCTGTAAGGAATCTGCTGATTCCAATGTTCGGTAAAGAATCTGCCAGATTGCAATGTTCTGTAAAGAATCTGCCAGATTGCAATGTTCTGTAAAGAATCTGCTGATTGCAATGTTCGGTAAAGAATCTGCTGATTGCAATGTTCGGTAAAGAATCTGCTGATTGCAATGTTCTGTAAAGAATCTGCTGACAGCAATGTTCTATAAGGAATCTGCTGACAGCAATGTTCTATAAAGAATCTGCTGACAGCAATGTTCTATAAAGAATCTGCTGACAACAATGTTCTATAAAGAATCTGCTGACAGCTGTTCTATAAAGAATCTGCTGACAGCAATGTTCTATAAAGAATCTGCTGATTGATGATAAGTGACGATAAGTTCACAGGGCTATCCTCAAAGCTTAAGCTTAAATCTGGTCTAGGTCAAGTTAATAACTAACTGTGTATCCATGCCTATGTTCACAAGGTCCATAAATATTGGAATCATAATTTTTTTCTTCTTCGAATTTTGTTTTGTATCCTTGACAGGACGTTGCAGAACCAACCACAGCATTCTTGGGCTGTTTGTTTTACTAGGCAATTTCAGGTTCAGTAGTTTGCCAGTGCTCTCAACACCACTGCCGAAATCAAAGCAAAGTGATCTGCTGCCAAACAGCCTGCAGCTGGAATCGAACCAGATACCTTGGAATTACTAAGAACATTCGCAATGGCCAAGCCACAGAGGCAGACAGAATCATAAAGAAAGAAGGAAATTACCTTCTTATGGAAATATCAGGGTCCTTGAGGCAATCCACAATTGTAGTTCTGTGTCTCTGAACTGCATTATAATCAGCACTGACAACTCGCAGTAATGTATTCAGGGCAACATATCTGCAAACACAAATTCAACAAGAAGGCAATGAAAAACTTTAATTTTTGTTGTTGCTAAAATAGTTTAAATAAATACCTTTTCCCTTTTATTTCCTCATTCACCGTGAAAAGAGGTATGGCTGGATGAACAGTCAGAACACTGCGCTCTCACCCAGATGACCTCATTTAAAGTAAGGCGACTGACATTTTTTTAAAATCAGGGCAAACATATAAATCCTAACCTGGTGAAAATATGGGGGTGACTGGAGTCAAGCTAATACAAGGAATTCCAGAGAAATGTGACTAAAAAGCTCGAAAAAATGGGGAAGCAGAAAAACGTGCACAAAACAACACAAATAATGCAATGTTTCGGCCGGGCAGCCTTTGTCAATTCTAACCTGCACAGTATGTGGTAACTGCACAAGCCAAGCAGCCATAATTCCTTAGGCTCAAGGCCCAAAAAAGTGCTATGTATAGGCAGTAAAGACCGTAAAGAAATAATAATTTATGAACAGAATATTGGTTGCATTGTTGTCTGTATATGCGCTTATCAGGGCTAGGATACTTTCTCATCTGTGTTCTTCCAAAGATGTAAATGCATTGTGCTCAATTACAGCATGGCTGCGATATTTGCACTTTTCGGCCGACATACCCAGCTTCTGCTGGCATTTATTACCCAGGTTAGCCTTTTCAGTGGGCTAGGATACTGTCTCCTTTGTTACGTTTTTGTCTGGGGAAAAAAAACCTGAAACATCACATGCTGTTACCCCCCCCCCCCCCCCCCCTTTCCAGCTTCTTAGTCAAAGCTCAGTGGATTCATTTCTTGGTAGTATCTTGGTTGCAGTCACCCATTTTCATCCCCTTTTTTGGTTTTCTAGTTGACATCTCCTAATTCATTACAGATTAAAAAAAAAAAATCCCTTATCACTCTCAAGTATAAATATTTTGCAGCAGGTTAGTTACAAAATAGAAGAGATTTTACTTTATGGAGATTCCGTCAGGACAGCAGCCTATATGGTCTACATTTTAATGCAATATGTTCACATCATGCACACTTACAAAGACGTAGCAACAAACCTGATGTTTTTATCATTGTTAAGCAGGAAACGTCCCAGGATGTTCACAGCCAGAACCTATATAAGAAAACAGAAAATGTGATCAATGAAAATTCAATTTGCCTGAACATTTTCAATCCCAGTTAGATGTTACTTTAACTCAGTGATTCCTAAACTGTGTGCTGCGGCGCAACAGGGAGCCGCCACCTCTTCACAGGTGCGCCGCAAATATTCCAACATACACAAGTTTTCAAGGTTATCCTTATTTTTTTTTAAATCTCTTACATACGAATCGTGGAAAATTTTTTTTTTTTAAATGCGCAGTGACTAAGAAAAGTTTGGGAAACACTGCTTTAATTTCTTCTATCCCAAGGAGACAGAGACACCATAAGGCAGAAATCAGGGTTTGCTGAAATTGGATGTGTTATGTCAAAATGTGCAGATATCACAGCTTAGCTTTCAGCCACAAAACAACATACCAACCACCCTTTTAAGTGTGAATGCAGAAGAATATCACTGGTAGCTTCTTTGATTACAGATGCAAATGAGTATAGCTTGCATGTGAGGAAATAAACAAACACTAATGTTGAGTTCTTCAGGAGGGAAAACTTACAGATACACTTCCAATAACAGGTGTTCGATAGGGATGCCTTATGTTGCCTCCACTATTTTTATACTGACAATAGACTAGATTATGAATACAGCAACATATACCACCAGGAATGACATTCAGTGGACCACTACAAAAAGCTTGATGAACTGGACTTTGTGCGCTCCTTTGATTCATTCCCCAAAAATGGCAGGATGCCACATTCTGGCCATAAAATATCAGAACGACGGTGTTCGCGTATATCTAAAATACGGACTGTCTGCCAAGGAACAAATCGCGGCAAAACTAGGATTACTTGACAATCAATATCAACATTTGCACACGGTACTAGTAGCAGACGATAAATACCGACCGTTGACAACAATTTCGAGCGTTTCTGCAGACGATACTAGCAGACGATATTAGCGACCGTTGACCAATTTCGAGACATTACAGACGATGAAAGCCGATTAGCAATACTGTGTTCTTCCGATTGGAGGATTTAGCAGCGGTAGATGTCAGACTTGTTGGCATGCGTCAAACGCGATTAAACTCACCGCTAAACTAGGTGCCAGGGACTCACGAGTACAGTAATTGGAGGAAGTTGCAGGAGATGCAGTAGCTGCCGCTCGTGAGTCCCAGCCTTTTAGTTTAGCCCCCATCCGCGCCGCGCGTACCGGCGCGGGGGATATGCTTGGCGGTGAGGCACACTCGCAGAAGCAGGTCGGCAAGCAACGTATCGCCGAGACCCTGTCAGAGCATTTGTTTCGTTATCCAGAGCCGGCACATATATTTTTAATAGAACTGACCCGCATTCTTATATTTTTGAATATTTTATGGCCAGAAATTGGCCAATTTAGCTCTCTTTCGAACGCCATCATATTAAAGCCGCCATTTTGGGGAACGATTCAAAGAAGAGCCGGACTTTGCTTATGAAACTTCTCACTCATCCCACCCCTGAAATCAGACGCAAGGTCAATTAAAGATACCAGATGAGAGTTAGGACTGAAATCCATAGGGAAAAGACAAAGATAATGAGGATAAATCAGGTAAATAGTAAGCCATTTTCTCATGGTGATATCCCACTCCAGGATGTGGAGTGATATACCTATTTAGGCAGCAATGCAGATAAACATGGGGGAACCGATAGGTATATTAAAATACAAATACAAAAGCCAAGAGGAGTTTAAATCGAACTAGGAAATTTGTGGAAATAGAAACAAAATTAAAACTGATACTAAACTTAAAAACAGTTTACTCTAATGTGAAATCAGTACTACTGTATGAAGTGGAAAAGTTGAGAATATAGCAGTTAGCAAAATACTACAAACATTTCATTATCTGGTGGTTTTGCAGCATACAGAGAATGAAGTCTTCTTCTTCTTCTTCGATTCTTCTGTCAGAAAACTTATATCAGGAGGCCGGTAGCCTTTATGAAAGCTATCGTGCAGTCCATATCCTCTCAAGTACCATACAGCATTTGTTTCAGCCTATTTTTCCACTTTGTCAAAGGCCTTTTCCCATTTCCACCCAGACTGCAATAGTGTTTTTTTTTGTTCCTGGAATGCTTCTTCAATCTGTTGAGCAATAAATGTTTTTTTGGTCTTCTGTTGATCTACAACGTCAGAAACCTGTCTGTTCCTCCATTAGTTTGAAGTTTTTCTTTGGGAACCAGCTCAGTCCATTGTTCAAGAGAATGAAGTGATATAAAAGAATCACTAATGTGCAGCTCTGGGACAGAACTAAATACATTTCAAGAAGAGAAGAAAAGATGCTAGCTTTGGACAGGACACCCATTGAGAAAAACCTGAGGACAATATAACTAGCATGGCGTTACACTGAAACTCACAGGGGCACAGAAATAAAGGCAGACAATTTTTTTACAACAAAATAAAAAACACACGGAGAAGGAAACAGAAAAATTAAATTAAAAAGAAGGGAAGGCCATAGGGTGAGCTGCATGCAACAGCAAAGTATGAGACAAATTGGTGTGATTTGCCTGAAAGCCTATGCTCCATTAGGGGATAAAAGGCAGAAAAAGAAAAATAAGATTTCTGAGTGGTGGGGGTTCCCTGGGGGTCTCTGTGATGAAGTGGCCAAGCTGTTTGCCATGCGTTCTGAAAGTCGGGAGCTCATTTGACAGCTGTGCTGTTCCATTCATGAGTGCAATTTGTTTTACAGAGATCCCTGGGAATCGACACCGAAGTTATGGAGTTTGTGATTGGTGCAAAGCTCTCGGCAGGTGGCCAGCTGTTCTCTGCAACAGAAACCAAGCCACACGGGATAAAACTCGGTGCAGTGAAGTAGATGTTCCCAACCTATAACCTTTTCCACAAGACATATATAAACAGCACAAACAAAAAAAAAGCCCAATCTCTCCAAAATTACCACCTTACCCTAAGTCCTGCTTCCGACTGAATCCCCATGATTGTCAGAACAATTTCATACAAAATTGCATGGCCCACGTTTTTACTTGTGTCAGTGTTGGTTGCAACCTGAAAGCATTAAATACAAAACTTTTAATCAGTTGTGCATTTTTGGGCAAAAATATTTCACTTGTAATTTTTTCATCTTTCATCAGTTCTTTCTTCTTCTTCTTTGCGTTCACCGGTTGTAAACTCCAGCGGAAAGTTGCAGTTGTTTGTCCACCTTTGGAGTTTAGCATGTACATCCATTCTACAGATCTAGCTTATTTTTATGCAGACAGTTGGTTCCTCACCTCAGGCAGATGCACTCTGAACTTTGAAGGAAGCCTCTATTAATTGACTCTTATGACATGCTTGTAGGGCAGGCAGTAGGTCCATCCTTGTTTTCCCACACAAAGGGGTTTGGGAACCCAATTAGGGAAGTTCTTTAATTCCCCAGTGTCTCTAAAACATATGTTTACCCTTTAACAGGTGGTTGGCACATTGTGGTTGACAGCTAAGCTGGTATATTTACACCTTTCTGTCAAGCTCATCAAAAATTCAGGGGGAAAACTGTGCCTTTTACAACAGGCGCGGAGAGTCTATTCTCCGTTTTCCCCAAAACCCATTTAGGGACCACGAAATACTGCATCTTCTTCTGTATATCCACACCCCCAGGGGTTTCAATTCAACTGTAATTTATATTTGTTCATCTATGTTTTCAAGATAACCCAAATACAAGTATATCATATTATTTTAAGATTGCATATAATTTTCTTATGGGACCCCCCCCCCCCCCCCCCCCCCCAAAAAAAAAACAACTCAAAAACAGAGCTTTAGAGTAAATTAGATATTTAAAAAAACATCTGCATACAAACACCAACCCACCTTGGACTAGAGGTTACTTTCTAACCATCTGGTGCCTCAGTACAACTGTATTATACATCAATGCTTCTAAAACAAAAGTATAGGCAGTCCAATGGCAGATACTGCCACTGTCTTCTTCTTCTTAGTCTTCACAGGCTGTAAACTGCAGAAGAAAGTTCTGGTTGTTCATCAACTTCTAGACTTTGAGGTTTTGTTCCAGAACTTTCCCGGTGTGGGTTCCGGGGCCCCATTGTGGGGAAAACAAGAATAGACCCACTGCTTACCCAAAAACCTGTCGCAAGAGTCAACTAACTGAAAGCTTCTTTCGAAGTCGGAGTGCATTTGCCTGAGAGGCAAGGAACCAACAGTCTGCATATAAAAATGAGTAAGATCTGTAAAACGGATGCACACGCAACACTCAGGTTGTGGAACAGGGCTGCAGTCCAGAAGTGGATAAAAAACCAGAACTTTCCGCCAGTTTACAGCTGGTAAACGCGAAAAAGAAGAAGTTCAAGAACTTGAGTTTTGCATGCATATTTATTTTACACATCAGGCTTATTCGTATGCAGACTGTTGGTTCCTTACCTCTCATGCAGGTGCACTCCAACTTTCAAAGGAAACACCCCCAATTAGTCACCTCCTGCGATACACTTCTTAGGGAGCAGTAGGTCTCTTCAATATCAAGAATGGAACCCAGTCCAGCAGCACTGGCCTCTCATCTATGTTCATTTTAGTATTTCTTTTGGACGTCTTGGCTTCTTTCCCAAAGCTTCAGTGGTAGAGGAATCAATGCTGCTATCCCCGTGTGGGTTCCGGGGCCCTATTATAGGGAAAACAAGAATAGACCCACTGCTTACACAAAAGCATGTCGTAAGAGTCGACTAATTGGAAGCTTCCTTTGAAATCGGAGTGCATCTGCCCGAGAGGCAAGAGCCAACAGTCTGCCCACAAATGTGTCAGATCTGTCAAACGGATGCACACGCAAAGCTCAGGTTCTGGAACAGGACTACAGTCCAGAAGTGGACAAACAACCAGAACTTTCCACCCAAGTTTACAGCTGGTGAACGCAAAGAAGAATGCTGCTATTTATGTGCCCCAAACATACTGAAACAATGATCACCTGATGAGAGCACAAGACGCTGCTTACCTGTGCTAGAATATCGTTCATAGTTTCACTAGCTTCACTGTCATTGTGGCCTAGAATCCTTAACAGTCTCAGAATTTTCACCTGGCGGGGAAACAAATTTATCACAAATCATAATTATGAATTCAAAGTTGTGTACCACCAACTAAAAAAAAAAAAAAAATTTAATGCTATCTTGAGTAGCCCTGAATAAATACAACTAACAGAAAAATATAAAAACAGCTAGTATTATACTGGGAACCCAGGCAAGCTAGAGGTGTGGTATCCACTTGCAACTCAACCATCCCTAAGCTAAAAGATAAGGATGTTTTCATGTCGATTTGGGCACAGGAACTGAATGTCCCATCTCTGAAAATTTGGACCAAATGCTCAATTTCCTCGAATAATGAGTTCTTCTTTGTTACATCTGATCACAGCAAACTTAAATCTAGTCATGCCCACTGTGTATTTAACCTCTATCCCCTCATGTCAAACCCACTGCAGGCTTGTAGTTCTACAACATGCAAGGCATGCTACACAATTATTTTTCAGTCCTTTGTGAATGGGGCACAAACCCTCAACCATCTCACACCAGGTCGTCCTATCCTTTGCTATCTTATGCAGCTCACCTCATTTCTCCCCGTCTTTCAACTTCACTCTATAGTTCCCTATTCTCTTTTTTTTAAGGATGGGGGTTAGGTTGTCTGCCTTTATTTCTATGCCCTTTGGGCTCCAGTTTAAAGCCCTACTATTTACATTGTTTCCATTTTTTTTTTCAATGTGTGTCCTATCCAACACCAGCATCTTTTCTTCACCTCTTAATTAACTGGAATCTCCTACACTGTTAGTAAACTTCTGTTGCCTCCCGAAAATCAGTAGGTTACTGGTCTGTCACTGACCAAAATCTCTTCATTTCATGTTCAACTCTACTGATAGCCAAAGATGCCTTATTAAGTTAGTTGTGTATCCTTTACAGGACATTGCAGAACCAGCCCCAGCATTTTTTGGCTGTTGGTTTTTCTAGGCAAATTTTATGTTCAGTAGTTAGCAACTGCTTTCTGAATGGTCAACTCTCAGTCCCATTGTCGAAACCAATGCAAGACAAACCGTCCGCTGCTGGGACCGAACCCGGCACTACGAAGCAGGTTCGCAATGCCCAAGCCACAGACGCCAACAACTGGACTGATATAGAGCAGTTTCTAAACCACTGACCTGTAGGAATGGATCACTGACACCAGACACATCATGCTCCGGTGAGTAACCAGCCATGATCAGATTTTTTAGCACACGAACCAACTGAGGCACCAGCTGAAATGACAAATAAATACTAGCCATGCAACAAAACAGTATATAGCTCTGATTGAAACACCTTATCTACTCAATACATAATTTATACAGAAATTAAAAAATATCACCAAAAAAAGTAGGGTGACGAGAAGAATGGTTGTGAGCAAAAATATCTTCCATATTTATAGTTAAATACACACAAATAAATAAAAAGGTTAAATACACGGGCAATGTTAGCTTGATGATAATTTGTCATATAAGATTGAATCAGAGTCACATTTTCCTGCTACAAATGAAATTTTTTAAATACATGCATATTAACACAGAGCATTGGCTTCTACTTTAACTCTATTTTTAACTTTGAAGTATTATCTACTAATTAATTTAACCCTTAACTGATGCTAAACCAGCGGTTCTCAATCTGTGGTTCACGACCCTTTTGGAGGTGAAACGACCATTTCACAGGGGTCACCTAAGACTATCGGAAAACACATATTCACTGAAGTTATAAAGTAGCAATAAAAATAAGTTTATGCTGGAGGTTGCCACAACTTAAGGCACTGTATTAAGGGGTTGCGGCAATAGGAAGGCTGAGAACCACTGAGCTAAACCAACAAACCAGATAAGAGTTAAAGCAACAACTATTTATGAAAGAAAAGACTCATATGTGGACTAAGATTTAACAAATATTGCACAGAAAGAGTTGATATTGTAAGAAATACTTGAAGAGAATATGTATCCTACCTTTCTAAAGTGATGTAAGGTGTCTGGGCTTTTCTCACTCATCTCCGTGATGAGACACACGGCAGTCAACAAGACACCTATAAAGAAACACATGAGAAAACACATCAGCAACGGTACTATAGCTACAAACACATTTTAATCAAACAATAAGCTGCACAAAATTAAATGCAGGCAAACATGTACATCTAGCATTGTTACTCTGTTATTTGAGTTTACTGAAATGTTTTAGACACACAAATTTAGCAGACCGGCACACTAGATAAGTTGGTTAAACCAGATGCTCGGCGACCTGGTGATGAACTCTTCATGGTCCGAGTTCACGCTCGGGGGTATGCAGAAAAGCCATATATTTCCCAGATTTACAGTATCTACCATGGAATCAAGACTGAAAGTTTGTGATATCCATAGTACCGAGTCAAAGGGTTTACAACTTGTAGTTTCTGGATATAAAAAAAAAAAATAATTTAGAAGCAGTTGTAGTCAAGGTTCTAACTTCACAAATGAGCCATCCCATAATTGCTCTTTTCCTATGTCAGTGAAAATCACACAAAATTCCCTTTACTGTCGATTTCAAAACTTGTGAACAAAAAATCAGTTACTGTATAATTCAGAAACAAACACACGCATAAACGGTCATCAAAGGTACCAATACCAACAGAACTGCACTTTTCACCTAAGTGCATTTTCAGTGCTGTTATCTGTCACTTTGCAATATGCCAAAGACAGAAAATGTAAATTTCTACTTCAAATATGTCTGCTTCTTCTTCACATTCACTGGCTGTAAACTCAGGCAGAAAATTCTGACTGTTCATCAATTTCTGGACTATAGTTTTGCGTGCACATCCATTTTACATCTGCCTTATTTGTATGCAAACTGTTGGTTCCTTGCCTATCAGGCAGATGCACTCCAACTTTGAAAGAAACGCAGTATAATTAGTTGATTCTTATGACATGCTTGTTAGGGGGTAGTAGGTCTCCCACCCCTCCCTCTCCACAATGGGACCTGAAACCCATACTGAGATAAAAGGTCCCCCCCAAAAAAGTATTACTTTTCATGCAACCACAGTTCAACGTTTATATGTGGGTTTCTCAGATCAAGGATCTGGTATTTAAGGTTACAGTGCCAACCAGGGCTTTTTTTCTTTCTGGCAATACACAAAGGGCACCTTTGTTTTAAAAAGGCTTATATTTTTCAGCATTGCGGTAATAGAAAACATATGGTGAGTACAGGCATATTTTTTATTTCAACAAAAAAGTCCTGGTACCAACATTATGCTGGAGCATGCCTATCTACAGACCAGCGGTGATGCGTTCAAATCCCCATTAAAGTGAATCTTTTTTTAACCTGACCTGGACCCCCAGGTTCACTCTGCCTATAAACTGCTGCCAGGAAATGTTCTGGAAAGTAAAGGTGGCTGGCATGATACTGACTTCATCACTCCACAAGTGCCTATTAGTCTGTAAAATAGGCAGCTAGATCCTTATGGCCACTACATTTCAGGACATGAAAACACTATCTAGTCACATCATCTGTCAGAGAGTTTAATATAATATGACCTTCTTCTACTATGTTCACCTTAAAAGAGAGACTGGTATGATGTAAAGGTAAAGGTACAAGTTGGGAGATGTCAACCAGCGTCATTGCACACGGTTATAAACCATAGGGCTCTGCCACCAGTACGGACAGCTGATAGGAAACTGCTTGTGTCGCCGTCCGCACGCAACTCCGTAGCTACAGCGATGTTTCTCCATTTACCCCAGAGTCACAGCTGGATTTGAAAGCGAGTCTCCTATCGACTGTGCTAACGCGGCCCCTGGTATGATGTGTTGTGGTTTACATCTAGGCTGTAATATCTGAGTCTTTCGGCCCAATTAAAGGACCCTTTTTTCCTGCTATTAGGTGTAATGAGCATATATTTTATAGATCAAACGGTACTTGGTGGGTGATGTAGTCAACATCACACCATCGACCTTTACTTCCCAGGAGCCAAAGCCATTTTTGGGAAGAAAAAAAAAGTCCAGCACCATCCGGATTTGTCCCATATGACCTTCAGATCTGCAAGCGAGCCTCTAGCTGCTACAGCATGGCATCTCCTCAAGTCCTTAATTAGTTAGTTGTGTATCCTTTACAGGACGCCGCAGAACCAAGCCCAGCATTTTTTTTGCTGTTGAGGTCTTTCTAGGCAAATTTTACGTCCAGTAGTTTTTTGTTGCTTTCCGGACTGTCGGCTTCTTGATACCACTGTCGAATCCAACGCAAGGTACCCCAGCATTACGAAGCGCGTTTGCAACGCCTAAGCCACAGTCACCTGCAATAACATGCCTGTTAGAGGGCATCATGGTCTACTGCTTCACCCCCCCCCCCCCCTCCCCCATGTGATCCAGGAACCTATATAGGAAACAATGCAATTAAAAAATACGTTATCACACACAAGTCCACCGATGTTAACCATACCATGATTTTTTTCATTCAACAATGATCTGGTGGCAGGAATAAACATCTCCATCAGGTCTGGAACTTTTCGGATAATGCCAAAAGCACAGAGTATTGCCTAGGTAAGTCCAGAAAGAAATAAAAAACATCAATATATGCGTTAAAGAAATAAAAAACATCATTAAGAAAACAATGTACAATAACAAAACAAAAAATAAAAACATTTTGAAATGTATAACTGTAAGAAAACTGTTAGTGTATAAAATATTCCTCTTCAGAAAACTAGTACACACATTTCCAATTAGATTTAAAAAAACGTTTTTAGTGTAAAAAAAAAAAAAAAACATATTTTCACAGGGGCTTTGCAGAAACGCAGCTTGCACTGTAAAATCGGGAGTCGCCATGGCAGAGCGGCTAGATGCTTGCCGCAGATCAGAAGGTAGTGGGTTCCCAGGTCGAGCCAGCCTTGAGTGGGTACCAGGACCAGTCCGGAGAAGTAGAGGTGGCCGGCGTGATGCTGACCACATCACCCATCTTGTGCCGACTGGTCTATAAAAACACAGGTCTAGTCCTATATGCCCTATACGCCTAAATGCGTGGAAAAGGGTCCTTTCCTTTTTTTTTAAACTGTAAAATTGATTTTCACAGACTATTCTAAAAATCGGCAGAAGAAAAAATATACACAGAAGAAGTTAATAAAATGACGAATCTGAAATGGCTTTCAACAAAACATTGTCATTTTGTAATACACCTAGGAATGTGGACAGAAAAAACCAGCACAATAATATATTTTATCATTTGTTTTTAAAAAAGAAAATCCAGTTCTGCTCAACTTGGTAAGAAAAATAAATAATAATATTTCAGCCTCCTACCAGAATTTAGCTACATATTTTTTTTAAAGCGAATAAACAAGATGGCAAACCATGAAAGAAGATTTTCAAAATATCATTAGCAATTTTGTTTGTTAGTTAACACATGGTAAATTAATTTTGAAATTTACATTAACAAGTGTGACCTCTTTACAATGGAGAAGTGGATTTGCTGCTGTCCTTTTAAATCTTCCTTGGCGAGGGGCCAAATATTTTCACAGTCTAACACTCATACCAATGTGCAAAAAGCCTCCCCAAAAAAACTAATAATAAAAAAGAATCCAGTTCTGAAATAACCACTGTCAAAAAAGCCCTACAAATCACCAGTCTCCCATACACCCCCCCCCCCCCACCCCCAAAAAACAACCATGAAAACAATATTTGGTTATGCAATTACAACTTTCCACGCAACAAAAAAAAATTTAAAAAGCCATTGAAAAAGGATCTAGTTTCGAAATTACCACTGTGCAACAAAACAACAACAAAAACACACAAAAAAGCAGCTAAAAAAAAAAAAAACAGAAACTATTTCTGAAATTACCACTGTCCAAAAAAAAAGCCATTAAAAAAATCTAGTTTAGAAATTGCCACTGTCCAAAAAGCCATAAAAAGAATCTAGCTCTAAAATTACCACTGTCAAAAAAAAAAAAAAAAAAAAAGCCATAAAAAGAATCTAGCTCTCAAATTACCACTGTCCAAAAAACCATAAAAATAATCTAGTTCTGAAATTTCCACTGTCCAAAAAGTCATAAAAATAATCTAGCTCTAAAATTACCACTGTCCAAAAAGCCATAAAAATAATCTAGTTCTAAAATTACCACTGTCCAAAAAGCCATAAAAATAATCTAGTTCTAAAATTACCACTGTCCAAAAAGCCATAAAAATAATCTAGTTCTGAAATTACCACTGTCCAAAAAGCCATAAAAAGAATCTAGTTCTGAAATTGACCTACAAAAAAATTATTTCTACAATTCGTTGAAAAATGATAAAATATTCTTGATTTTACAGCACAAAATAATACAATCTTCTGGAGAGATGGTGTGGTGTTAAAAGAGAAGCAAATAAAAGTAATTTTAGTAACAAGGTACCTAATAAAACACAAACAAAAACAACAACAATAAAAAACATTCCTATTCCTAAAGGTTTTCGAAGAGGTTGCAGCACAACTTAACATAAAAAATATTTTTTTTTAAAGTCCCATTTTGAAAATATTAGAAGACGACAAACCAGAACATAGGGTAAATAAAAAGACGTAGAACAAGAGACAAGAATAAGAAAATAGGATTTCGGACAGCTTTTAGTCATGGCATCAACAGGTGTGAGCCACAAAATGTTACATGCAGCTGAGCACTACAGAATGTGGAGAAACATGATCACCCATGGCAGCTGATTAGGTACTTTCTTATGATGATCTCCTTCTTCTTCGCATTCACAGGCTGTAAACTCCTGCGGAAAGTTCTGGTTGTTTGCCCACCTCTGAACTGAACTTTAACCCTGTTCCAGAACCTGAGTGTTGCGTGCACATCCATTTTACAGACCTGACTGTGTATGCAGACAGTAGGTTCCTTGCCTCTCAGGCAGATGCACTCCAACTTCACAGGAAGCTCTCCTCCCCGCCCCTCCCCTAATTAGTTGACTCTTACAACATGCTTGTTGGGGTGGCCTATTCTTGTTGTCCCCCCAATTGGATATCCGAAACCCACACAGGAAACTTACTTATGATGATGAGTCTTTAGTAACCAACAACTAAACCATCCCTGAGCTGACTGTGCAGAGGTCATTTGCACAATATCCAGAACATCTCTCTTCCTGATCCCTGAGCTTTATACAGACATCAATTACCCAAAAAATTAACAACAGTTTCAAGTGACATACCTTTTTCTTGATGTAGGCATTAGAAGACTTGATCATCTTTTCCACTTCCCCAGCCAAATCCCTGCTCATCTCTACAGAACAAATGGCACCAAGGGTGCACAGTGCCAAACTCTGGATGTACTGGGTTTGGTGGCTAAGGTCGCTGTGGAGAGATGGTGAAAAAAACTGTTCATTTCATCTATTACAGCTTTTACATTTCTAAGACACATACATTATCAATGCAAGTGTTAAGTGGGGTCCTTTGGGCAAGTAAAGAACAGTAACACAGCACCCTACCAAGCATGTCATAAGGGGGATCAAGGATAGGGTTAGGTTTATAGCTGACTACCCTTGTTCTGTAAAAATATTCAGCCATAAAAACCAGCAAACTGATTAAGCCTGGGAAGGCTCAGCACAAACTAGTTGACTGCTTATGATCTACTGGAAGAAAAAAAGAGCCAACGAGAAAGCAGAAGATGCTGTTGTATGTCCAAAATTTGAGAATTAAAATAGGATCTGGCGTTAAACCATCAGGTAACAGAAAGAAATAACTATTTACAGTAAAATATTAACTTACATAAACCCGCTTAAGAACGTTAAGTTAACATGACCAAAATTGTGGTCCCAGCATAGATGTATTTATTAATCTGACTGACTAGCACGCTTTTTTTTAAAACATAGATTGTTTCAGTCTTTTAGAACTCATGACTGCGAGATTTTACTGTATTATCCTGAAATGTGTACAGCTATGTTACCTGTGTGCTACCAGGTCACCATTATGGGGAAACCAATAACAGACCCACTGCCTCTCCACCAAGCATGATGTAGGAGTGGACTAAGTTAGGACTTCCTTGGAAGTCAGAGTGCATTTTCCCCAGCGGCAAAGAACAACCAACTGCACACAAATAAGCCAGTAAAACAGATGTACACGCAAAACTCAGGCCCTGGCACAAAGTCAAAGTACAAATGGACGAACAACCAGTACTTTAAACTGCAGCTTACAGCCAGTAAACAAAAGTAGAAGAAGAAAATATAACTAGACCCAAGCTTAAAGAAAAGCCATCCTAGAGAAAAGAAATATAAGAAGCTGGCATTCTTGAACTGATGGTGACGAGCAAGAAGACTATCAGAGTTAAACTTACTTCTTCAGAGAGTTTGTAATAAGCAGATGGACATCTTGTCTCTCATCCAACAACAGCATGGCACCGAGATAACCAATACGCTTGTCCGTAAAGCGTGCCGATGCTATCAGTTTCATACATTCCAGCTGGTAAGAAGGAAAGCAAACATAAGCAAAATGCTAATATATGTACTTCTCAATCAGTCAATGAGTTAAGAACTGGCAGCACAGCACTCATGACATTCCTATAAGTGCTCTGTCTCCATCTTCAGCAGCAAGCACAGAGTTCCAATTCCAATGATACCAGTAACAGTCTGATTCTACCATCCTCCTCTGAGTGTTGAGCATCAACATGACTCCCTGGTCACTCCTTGCTGTCTCTTCTGACCGTGGTGATCTATTTCAGCATCTGTCCTGTTTACTCCCATTCAAAGGAACATTAAAACATGTAGCTTGTAAATCAGTCAAAGAAAATTTGAAAAGCAGACAAGAATATGACATCCCTAGCATTATATGAAATTACATTGCAAAAACATCTTGCAATTTGGAGCTGCAGTAGTTCCCTGGCTAGACACTTGTTTGCTGATATAAAAGTTTAGTTCGAACTGCATTATGGTCGATTTTTACCCCCCAAAAGGTAATCCTGGCTCCCATGCTGACCTTGTCTAAAAAAATTCTTAGGAAATGTTCTGGGAAGTAAAGACAGTCAGTGTTACGCTGACCCAATCACTCCTGACTGATCCACGAAAATACAGCTCTCGTAATGGTTCATCAAATAATTTCAGTCTAATCATTTCTCTTCTTCTACCTTTCATTTCCCAAAAGAGAAGCTGGCTAAGTCGCAGCATTGTGCCCCAAAAGTAGTAAATGTAGGCAGCGAAGACATGTTTTGTTTTATATTTCCTCCCATTTTGTTTCAAACTCTCTAAATAGGCACAGGCTCCCTACCAGCTCACACCAAGCACTTATATCCTCTGCAAGCTCATATAATACCTTCAATGGCTATATCAGTTTCAGCCAGCAACATACAGTCAAGCACAAAGGACAAAAAGACAGTGTAGTCGAAGTAGCAACAAACCTGTCCAAAGTGAGCGGGGTAGCCAAGCATGTGAATATACAGAAGCTTCGCCACATTACGACAGCGATAAGTGTTGTCTTGGTCTCGGAAAGAGTCGCGGATGGTTGCACACTCTTTATTTACCACAGCCCTCTCATCTGCCGCAGTACGAGCTGATCGGATCTCACGAATTAAATCCCGCAACCGCTTTGGAGCAGGCATGCTCACGGCCTACAAAATGAGCAAAAAATACATTTAAAAAATATTTACTGTATGGAACATTCAACATTCTTGTAACTTTTACTACCTAATTCTGGATGTGTAATGAGAACACAGAGACCATAACAACGACTGAAAAGATCAACATTAGAAGAGGTAGACCTGGAGAAATAATGCCTGATAGTCAAAGACAAAGTGCCTGATAGTCAAAGACAAAGGCACAGAGTTTCAGAGTTTAACTGATTAGGAATACCAATTATTGATTCCCATAAGTGCTCCGTTCTCATCTGCAGCAGCCAGCGCAGAGTTCCAATTCTGATGGTACCACTTTCTGACTGTATGTCCGTTTTGCCTTCTCCCGGAGTCTGATTCCTGGTAACTTTGCGAGCATTATTCTCTTCAGACGATACTGCAGAAATATGAATATCTACGCCGTCTGGCAAGGCTAATAATGAGAAATCTTGTAAAAAAAATTTTTAGCAATTTTTTTTTCTCTCTGGTTCTGTCCTGCCTTTCAGCGTCAGGTTTTGAAGAGGCATAGAGTGCACGCTTGGTATGTGCTATGTAAATGCTGGTATATATGGCAATAATGGAAGAAAACTAAAGATTCTGTTTTAAAAAGTAACACAATGAATAAAGCCAGACAAGAAATGTATGACTTACACACACACACACACACAAAGACATTACGTATTAAAATAAATACAAGACACTTACTCACTCTATAAAGATCATCACAAATAAAAATCAAAAAAATGTATAGTCATCTCATGGCCACATTATACTAACAGAATATGGAGCAAGTTATGACCAATGGGAAGATTTGATGGGAGAGGGAGGGGGAGGGAAGGAGAGAGACAGACAGAGAGAGAGAGAGACAGACAGAGAGACAGAGATACAGAGAGGCAGAGACAAAGAGAAGTTAACAAGACATTTGACAGCGTTTTGTTAGGGCACAGAAGGGAGTCAGTAAATGAAACATGTGGCTGGGGAACACAGGACAGGGAGAAGCTTGACCACCGATGTCAGTCAGCAAAGCACTTCATGATGTTGATGATATTATTCATAAACATCTTTTTTAATATCTACATTAAAAAAAAACTTGTTCAGCTGCTTTATAAGTATGCACTGAATCTCTCTCTCTCTCTCTTTCTGTGCCTCATCCATACAACAAAAACAATTATATAAACATAAAGATGTCATAAGAGGAAAAGGTCGGCAAAGAACATACTAAACTACATCAAAAGATGGGAAATAAAATAGTTTGCCCACTTCAAAAGGATGTTTTTTTTTAATGTCACGATATACAAGGCATACTTAGAAATAAGAGGGACACAGAGCATAAGGTAGACCAAGAATCAAGATAACAGAGAAACTATAACAGTACAATATGTCTATGGTTGAGGCGACCAGAAGAGCAAGAAGTCAAACTTTATATTTCCTTTGATTCTCAAACTGGTAAAAGAGGAAGTAAAAAATAATATATGTAAGCAATACTCATATTAGAAACAACCACACCTTTTAATAAATGCTACAAACCTTTAAGACATTCATTGTGCTGCTTGGTTCACACACATCCAAGTCTTGCACAACAAGTTAGAATATGCACTTCTGTAACAAAAAGGAAACAGTTGTTTCATGAATCCCTGCAGAAGCATATTTCTCCTTAAATAATTTCACAGACAATTCAAGCAAAGTTAAAAAAAAACTATCCAACCAACAATTTTAATATTATATATATATATGTATGTATGTATGTATGTATGTATGTATGTATGTATGTATGTATGTATGTATGTATGTATGTATGTATGTATGTATGTATGTATGTATGTATGTATGTATGTATTATTATGTATGTATATATATATATATATATATATATATATATATATATATATATATATATATATATATATATATATATATATATATATATATATAGTGAACTATTTCTGAAACTTTCTATCACAAAGATCTGAGGAAAATTAAAACATATGCTTGCAAAGAAAGCAGCCACAAGAATTTACAAACAGGAGGGAACTTTTGAAAACTTTAAACAAGGCATGCTCTTAAGTGTGTATGATTCCTCTTCTATGCTGAATGGTCAATTTAGTTTTTTTGTAAGATATTTTTTTAAACGCCATTTTCAAAAGAACAAAATCCACAGTGATAGTAAATGCTCTGATAACCATTACAGACCTACAGATTCAGTCTAATTCCTTGTGTGGTTTCCGAGGTCCCATTGTTGCGGAGAAAAGAGAACGGACCCACTGCTCCCTAACATCATCAATCAGCAGATACTTTGGAGTTGAATGCTGAATTAAGAATCGACGCTCACAGCACTCGGGACACTCCCACCTTCAGCAGCAAGCAAAGAGTTCCAATTCTGATGGAACCAGCAACCGTCTGATTATATATCTGTATATCCCTCTCATCATTACCCTGAGTGTTGAGCGCCAGCCAGATTTCCTGGTAACTCCTTGCAGTACTATTCTCCTCAGACCATAATGATCTATCAGTGCCTCTGGACTGTTCACTTGCTCCTAAAGGGGCCTCACAATATCTCACTTTTCATACATCAATTCACCAAAAAGTGGTGCAGAGCCAGCCATTCTATCTACCTGCTCATTTTCCAACACACAGCACGACCTGGAGAAAATATCCAAAGAATGCTAACTAATCTGAAGTAATGCTTGCCACTCTGCACGAAGCACGCCTGTCTTCACCTTTTTCAACATGCTCTGTGAGTCTGTTACAATCACGGCATGTGTGTACAGCTGATTCTCAAGCCAGCATAGTCTAGCGGAAAGCAGCCGACTGCCTCCACCTCCATTGTCAAACTAGACATTGTGATAACATATGCAAGGCTTTGCTGCACTAAGCGACGTCCATTCGACTTTGCTATGAACCCCCATGCACTTCATCTACCCCTAATCACAGAGCCATCTGTATAGATAATCACATCACTTGGGCCGGAATTGTCATGAATCATTTGTTTAACTTCTGATTCTGTGGCACCAGTTGGCCAGTCCCTGCACTCAGGACCTAAAGTGATTAGAACCCTAAACAAGTTTGATACTTGTTGCGAAATCTTGGCCCACTCCTCTCTTCGCTCAAATTTATCAAGCCTGCACACATGTCCAATTGTGTCTTCAGCTTGTGCCATCCAAGGCCTTCCTCTTTTCAGTCTGTCGCCCTTAGCTCTACCCAGGGCTTCATGCAGAAGATGCTTCTTGTCTGCAGCTACTGTACTTTGCCTGCAGAACTTTGAACCTATCTGCAATAGTAGACAGTGCAAGTATATATCGCATACATACTACTGTGGTATCTCTTGTACATTCCAGAATTAACCACATGGCTTCATTCTATCTTTTGTCAGCTGACTCGTTTGACATGGTAAGCATTCCAAATCCACAGATCCTTTGGAAAATGTCGCTATCGTCACAGCATGCCTGAAAGTCTCTTTCTCTAGTCAATTTTCCAGCTCTGTGTGCTTTCCTAGACGTTACACCTTTAATGTATTGTATCCACCTTCATTGAGATGTTGCTCTGCCTTGTTTTCCCGAAACTGCACCTTCCCTCACTGTTCTTGGCAGTCCACTATGACCTTTAACATGGCCAAAATACCCAAAGTTTGATGCTCAGATTGTTTAGGATGTCAGCATTTCTTCTTCTTCTTGGTCCAAAGTATTCCTAAGAATTTTTTGGCATCATTTCAGTTTAAATGCTACGATCCCCCTCCCTCCTCCACTAGAAATGTTGTAAAACATGAGACCTACTTTTTAGGGGGCAGTTAGGTATGCTCCCCCCCCCCCCCCCCCTTTTCACTAGACATGTTGTAAAACATGAGACCTACTTTCTAGGCGGCAGTTAGGTATGCCCCCCCCCCCCTTTCCACTAGACATGTTGTAAAACAAGAGACCCACTTTCTAGGGGGCAGTTAAGTATGCTCCATCCCCCCCCCCCTTTCACTAGACATGTTGTAAAACAGGAGACCAACTATTCGGCCGAATACGAATAACGGAACCAACTATTCGACCAAATACGAATAGTGTATAAAATATATCTAAAAAAAAAAAAAACGCATTCATAATGTCAAATGTACGCTGAACTTTTACTTCACATAAAGTAGCACAGAATAGTCATCTTCTTCTTTAGCATTCCGAGCCCTTAAGTTTAAGGCTGCAGATATCACTCGTCTCCATTCATCTCTCTGGCTGGCCTTCTCTTCACAATTTGTGACACTAGTTGTTTGCAGGTCTGGCTGGACATTATCTCTCGATCTTCTTTTTTGTCTGCCTTGTGGTCTACGCCTATTCCTCTCTCAGGTGTATACAGTTTTACTTCCCTGACATCTGACATTTTTTCAATATGCCCCAATCATTTTAGTCTGTTAGCTCTCATGATGCCAGTGATCAATGGTGATTTAAACAGATTATGTGTTACGTTGTTGCTTCTCACTCTCCATTCCCCGCTGTTTGCATCTTTGATGGGTCCAAAGATTTGTCGTAAGACTGTTTTCGAAAACCTGTAATAAGGCCTTATCTCTTTTATTTCTACTTCAAGTTTCAGAGCTAAATAAAACAACTGGTCTTATCAACGTTTTATATATTTTGATCTTGGTGTTTGCGAGACGGACACTTTGACTTTAGCAGATGTTGAAGGCATAGTATACTTTATTTCTACATTGTATTTCTTCTCTAGGCATGTTGGAGCAGTTAAAGTTTGCACCCAAGCACTTATATGTTTCCGTTCGTTTTATTTTCATATTATCGACTTAGATGTGACCGGAGTTTATATTCTTTCCATGTCTAGTTAGTATTCGTAGGGAATAGTAAAAATTTAAAAACATTTAATGTTCTGCATCCTTCAGTCAGTCTATGGTAACTAATAACTAGGAATGAAAGAATCCTAAGTATTATAACAAGTAACTAAACTTGGAAATTGTCACTGACAGCTTAGTTAATGCATGAAAGCTGCATCAGCTTTCAACAAAACCAATCGTTCCATGTTGTCAGTATTAAGGCCATGTATGCAGAAGCGGGTGTAAGGTAACTACTATTCGTATTCGGCCCGACCGCAACTATTCAGCCGAATACTGAATAGTCATTAGGTCCACTATTCGGCCCCGAAGCGAATACGAAGCGAATATTCGGTACAGCCCTAGTTACAATAGATCAGAAGTTGAATTCACAATTAATTGCACCAGTTCTCTGGCAACAGGCCACTCGTCAACTTCTGAATCTGCACTTCACAACACAAACCATGCTGGTCAGTCTAGAAGCATTCCATATGAAATTTGCACCCTAACTTGCACCACACACTCAACTGAAGTACCAAGGCAAGGGAACTATATCTTTTTAGTCTACATATGGAGGAAAATTCAAAGGTTTACTACAGTCAACAGCAAAAACTTGTTGCAACCCCCACACACACAATAACAAAAACAAGGAAGGCTGTCTTTCTGCCATTCATATATCTTAGTTCTCTCAAGTGCTGTCACCCCTGACTTAGTCACACGCCAATGTAGATTATTTTACAGGTTTCTGCATTTTGCAAGAAAGTGAGCTGAGTAGAGAAGTTAAGTTGATTCAAGAACCATCATCACAGTACTCGGGGCATTCCCATAAACCATCATTCCCCATCTTCAGCAGCCAGCGCAGAGTTCCAATACCAATGGTGCCAACAGCATTCTGATTATAGGTCCGTCTTGCCTTTCCTTAAACATCGAATATCGACCAGACCCTTCCCTCCCCCATCACTCTTATCAGACATTTGGTCCTCAAAATTGTACACTCTCCCACAAGGCCCTAACCACGCCTGCCTTATCACGCATTATTATTCCACCAAGATGTGCACAGCCATCCAATCTGTCCGCCTGTTTATTTCCTGGGCTGAGCTGATAATTTACATCATAGCATTCAGAACATACCACAAGTTCTGTTACCACTTTTAGCAGCCAGTGTAGAGTTCCAGTTCCAATGATACCAGTTTCAGAGTCTGATTGTATGACCATTGTGCCCTTCTCCTGACTGGTCTGCTGTATCATTCTCTTCAGAGCACAATGATTTCTCTTCAGAGCACAATGATTTCTCTTCAGATCACAAAGATTTCTTCTTCAGATTACAAAGATTTCTTCTTCAGATCACAAAGATTTCTTCTTCAGATTACAAAGATTTCTTCTTCAGATTACAAAGATTTCTTCTTCAGAACACAATTACTTTTCGGATCACAATGATTTCTTCTTCAGATCACAATGATTTCTCTTCAGATCACAATGATTTCTCTTCAGATCACAATGATTTCTCTTCAGATCACAATTTCTTTTCGGATCACAATGATTTCTTCTTCAGATCACAATGATCTATTTGTGCCTACGCACTTTTGACTAACTCCCAATGAGACTTGACATCTAGCATGTCATGCTTCAATTGAAATTGACTAAGAAGGTCTCCCCATGGAGAAGCGGTAAAGCCATTTCCTTTGCATTTTAGAAGTTAAGGGTTTGTTATTTTACTCTGTCCTAGTTTTCATGATTGCAGGTGTATTAG